CAAGTATGACGTAATGGTCTTCAATGCAATTGTTGATGTCTATAATATTCATAAATATATCGTACAAGAAAGAATATGACAAAGTTGAGTACAACTTAAATGTCAATGACAGGGCCAAGCACCGATCCCACATCATAGATTGCGTTGTCTTGACTGTTACAGTTACCAAACGGCTACACAAGCGTTCGTTGTAGTTAACGAAAAAAGTCGTAATGTTTCATAAAATAGTGATGTTGGAATTGCTGCCGTAAAACTGATGATTTCAAAAATTCTTAATTTTTTGCATGTTTGGAGCCAAATGTTTCTTGAATTTCAAAAAAATTTCCATTGATACTACATCATTTGAATTGTTTTTTTTCACGCCCTATCTTTGGTGAGAATATGGTAATTGGTCATATAAACTTTAATGACTTCCGTGTTTGGATGGCCCAATATTATTTTAATAGATGGCTAATTCAAATACGTTGGAGTTTTTGTATTTATGAAATTTACGATTGAAAATGTTTTAAGCCGGAAATTTACAATTACTTACAGGTTATATTTTGCCTCAGGAATAGACAAAGTTAGTGAGATGTTAACTAAGTGCTCTGAAACGCCGTAGCCTCCTGTAAACCTTAGGCATCAAGTTATTCTTTCAATTGACCATCCACTATATGTTCGTGAAGTTGTCGAGAAAGTTATACTCAGTATAGAAACTCACAAAACTCTAACCCTCAATGTGTGCAACACAACAGCCTTGATCTTACTAATCAATGCAAACTCTTTTACCCATCAATCTATGATATAAGATTTTTGGTGAAATATTTCAAATCATTACAATCAGTGGTGAATACAAGTCTTCCAGCAGTTATAAGACTAGTTTTATACTTTATTCAATGAATGTGGGTGTGAGAGTTTTAGAAAACAGGTGATACAGAGAGGTAGATAACCTTATCTGTATATTCAATATTCTTTAATAAATCAAATTAAAACTAATAAAAATATTAAAGAGTCCATTAGGAGAAATTCTGTTTGATCTCATAAAAAAAGTTATTTAATTCAACATTTTGTATTGATTAGCGTAATTAATGTGAAATAGTAAAAAAGCACTCCTAAATTCTATCTATAAATTCTATCTATGGAGTTGCTCAACAGACGATGCTTAGTTTTACAGCAAAAGCAACCCTCAGGAGCCCATAACATTCAAGACCAGACTTTCAGGCTGCGTGCTATACCGGATTCATTCTCTATTTGCTGTAAAGGCTTCATTTTTTTTTTTAATTCCTTTGTTCAGTCTCTTCAGACAATAAATGTTTATTAAATTCAGAACTTAAGTCCATTTAATTGTGCTTTTGGCATTAACCATTATCACTGCCTTTTAATACTTTAATAAACGGGATCTTGGTAATAGCCTAACTCAGAAATACCATTTTCTATCGTATAAGAGTTTTATAATGTATTGAAAAGTTGACTTTACATGTCATACGTCAACAAAAGCAATTGAGATTAAAATTTAAATAATCAGATATCATATCATTCAATAATGTTAGCTAGATGCAGAAATGTAGTATGTATCATCCAAATGCGTCGTGAAAAGTGTTTTGCTACTTTACATCTATAAAATAAATCCTTTAACTACCGTATCGTTGATTTGTTGTTTGTTTTCCTGTCAGTAAACTTTTCATTGTGGTTCCTTCCATTAAAAACTGAAAAATTCTTAAGTTCTAGATTGTTTTTCAATTCGTCATTACATCAGACTGTGCACGCACCCGAACTGGGATTTCAAAAGAACTCCTTAGGATCAGCAGACTTTATAAAATGGATGTCTTAAGTGCTGGTCGCAATCAATCGATCTTTCAATGAAAACCAATCAAAATAATCATTTACGTAAAAAGTTATTTGTCTTTTCCTCTGAGTAAATTTTTATTTTACACGGTATATTTCCTGTTCACTTGCCTTTTCACAAACTGTTTTACTGTTTAAAGCTGTTATTTGTTATTTTGATGTGGTTTTTCTTTCATGTGAATTTAAAAAGTTCTTGAGATCTGGATTGTTTTTCAATTCTTCATTGGACCTCACAGTAGCATGCACTCGAACAGGGAGATCTGGGAAGTTTTGAGAATATACGCCTTGGATCGCCAATCTTATAAAATGGTTCTGGTTGAGGTTTTGGCCGTAGTCGATCCTTCCAATGTTGGTTAATATTTCAAATAAGTCTTAAACATTCTGTCTATGAAGAGTCATATGTAAAATCTTTCCAGTCACCACGTCGTTCTAAAATAATCATAAACATCACTGTCTATTTTACTTTTCCAATCTGAGGATTCGCTATTCAATTGTTGAACGACACTACACAAGGGATCATTTGTCTTAATCTGCTGAAGATTTCCAACTTTACATAATAAGTCAAATTTCTCGTCATCCGACATAAGAAATGGATGTTTTAACGCCACGTTAGCCGATGGTCTGTCTTCTGGTTGTCGATTTAACATCCACGATGAAAGGTCTTTCAGTGTTTCATCCTTGATTTCCCCAAGCCAACAGGGTTTCCATTTAACATATTGTCCAATCTATACCGTTTAGTTCCAAACGGGTGTTTTCCTTTGTTGCAATATAATAAGATTACCAATCCTGCATTCTAAAAGATTAACAATGTAATGTTACAAATTGACTGTATACATACATGTTGTGCAATGGTCATATTCATGCACCTACCATTACATCAGACTCTTTCTTGTACCGTCCTTTATCGACTGTATCTTTATCTTCACAATATGATTCAGGAGCAATCCAATACTCAGTTCCCGTGTTAGGCTTGCTTTCATGTGTCGTACAATCATTATTCAATATTCGACTAATGCCAAAATCAGCTATCAAAAGTTGCTTGTGAATCTCGAAGAACATTGGTGGGCTTTAAATCACGATGAAGAATAGGATTTGGGCACGCTATGAAGATCAGCTAATCCTTGCAAAATTTGTCTGAGAATTTCGGAAGAGCTTTTGAAGATCGTGTGAAGTAGACGATTTACAAAACTCTCCAATGATTCTTCACATAAGTCTAATATCAAATATACATATTCTGTTCAGTCTCTTCCTCTAGGAAAGAATAATTCACAACATATTTCGACTTTCTTGCGTTGAATTTATTCAAAATTTTCTTTTCGTGCAGCGCAAGCTGGTTGTAGCTATCTCGATGTATTCGTTTTACTGCTTTACCGTAACCATCCTTACCAGTCCAAGAAAAACACGGTTGCATCACTTCCTTTGCCAATGCAAAATTCTTCTGAGAAAATTACTCATACATAGCCCACCACTTTAACCTCGTCACTAGAGATTGCGTCCATATTCAATCAATTTTAAAACAATTCTCTATGTTTCGTTGATTCATCAATGTATTTCCTCTTGCCACACTAATTCTAAAAAATTAGATAAAATATTACATTCAAAGGTGAATGAAACAGAAATAATACGTCAAAATAGCTTAAACTTTCCAATCAGGAAAGATATTATTAGCTCCAACCATTTTTGAAAAACTTATCAACAACCATTACACAAATCATAAGTTCTTTAATGTACAAACAATCCATTGTAGGCAATTAGCCAATCAAAACTAATTTAAATCTACATTCAAAGTAAGATTACTAATTTCCTTTGAAGTTCGTTCATATAAAACACTTTTAAAACATGGAAATTGTTCCTGTAACTAACATAATTGTTTTGCAACATTATCACATTTCCGCGTCATAAAAAACCTGGTCATCAGTTTATATAAAACTGGAATAATGACTGAGCTTGTGGCATAGCCACATAGCCTAAGGAACTTCCACTAGAGATATAACAAAGTTCAAGTGAATGTAATTTAGTTAAACACGTAGATAAAATTTCCACCTGCGAGGATTTGGGCTTTGGTGGCCATATTTTATAAACCGATCCTCTGCGTTCTGTTTTTGAAAAACCACGGAAGTAAATAACATGCTCTAGATGGTCCATCTTCGGGGCATCGAATGATAGGCAGATAATATTAATGTATCTTGCAGGCAAAGCTAAAGTATGTTATAACTTCAAAAGTTCACTGAACATATCTTCATCATCAAAAAATTCAACCACAAACATCTAAAACCGTCAGGTTACAGTGTTAGTAAAGACCAGGTTACAGTGTTAGTAAAGACCAGGATACTGTATGTTGGTAAAGAGTCCAGGTTACTGTGTTAGTAAAGACCAGGTTACTATATAGTAAGACTAGGTTACTATTAAATGAAGATATAATCTTCGCACTTTGCTGGACAATTTAAGCAATTGTCTCATGAACCTGAAAAATTCAGGCGACTCAACGAGATTCGAACCCATGACCTCTGCGGTGCCGGTGCAGTGCTCTGACCAACTGAGCTATGAAGTTACACAGTGTAGAGCACGTCAATTTTGTTGGCTCATGTTTTCTCGTGAAGGAACGTCATATGAAAGAATATATGCAGTAGGTGTTTGAAATCAAATGAAGATATGATCTTCGCACTTTGCTGGACAATTTAAGCAACTGTCTCATGAACCTGAAAATTCAGGTGACTCAACGGGACTCGAACCCATGACCTCTGCGGTGACGGTGCAGTGCTCTGACCAACTGAGCAAAGAAGACACACAGTGGAGAGTCTTCTTTCACGAGAAAACATGAGCCCAACAAAATTGACCTGCTCTCCACTGTGTGAGTTCATAGCTCAGTTGGGCAGAGCACTGCACCGGCACCGCAGAGGTCATGGGTTCAAATCCCGTTGAGTCACCTGAATTTTTCAGATTGATGAGACAATTGCTTAAATTGTCCAGCAAAGTGCGAAGATCATATCTTCATTTAATTTCAAACACCGTACTGCATATAAAATTCTTTCATACCAGGTTACTATATTAGAAAGACAAATTTACGACTAATAATTAACTATTGTAGGTACTGATTACGTATTATGTAAGACTAATGAAATTACAAGCAACAACAAACCAAGATAGATGTTAACATGATACAAACCTTCAAATTTTCTCAGACATAACAGCATTTTAAAGCAATTTATTTTTGTCGTGATCAAACATAAACTTTACAATACCAATCATTCTAATGCTTTCGTTGTACTTAAGACTAAAATCGTGCCGAAATATTTTCTTGAGCAAGGATCCAAGCCAATACGGATTCAAAACAATATTTTTTTGCATACCTTGGATGTCCTAGCGTAAGAAATTTGGAAAAAAAACATGCAAATTAATATATTTTTTATAGATCGTCAGTTGATGTGGGAGATAGTCAGGGATCACTTACAGTTGTAAAAGTAGTGACTTTTTTATTATATTTACTATGTATAATTGCTCCTCTTTACCACCTTTGATACACAGTTGTACTGGCAAAAATTACTTCTTTCCTACACCATTGTACATACAAGATATTAAACTCACCTTAAAATACTGCAGCTCACCAATGGTGTCAAAATACGAAACACAGGATCGCAATTCACACTCTGTAACTTCAATTTTCCGAATGATTAACAACTCGTGAAGCTCGGAAAAAGATAAACACGGCACTTTAAGGGACTTCCGAAGGGCTTTGATCTCTTTCTCGACCTTCATCCATGATTCTGGAAGAGTTATGTCAACATATGGGAACAGATTTTTATCCCTAGCGATCCTCACGAGTTCACGTCGTAACCTTAAGGTGCCTGCCAGCGATTTGTTGCTAATGGCAATGACATTCATGGCTAAATTGCCGTCTAAGTTCTCGTGCTCTTCCTGGAAGAAATGCTTTGAAATTTAATCATCATAAGAAATAAACTATGTGTGTGTTAGTTAGTAGTGACCAGGTTGCAAAAGACAAATAAAAAATATTTACGTTCTTTCTGTCTGTTTAAACTATGATATCAAATTGAACCGTAAGAACAAAAACATGGAAAATGTAAAATAAAATATTTACCTTATAATGTAAAGACAAAACAGGCAGTTTATCTTTCTGCTCTAGAAGTTGCTCCATAATTTTTGACTCTTCATCAGAAGAAACACAATGTTCCAGTTTACGTTTAACGTTTTCTATTATTTCACGTAACATTTCCTTGCGTTGTTCCTTCATATTTTTCACAATATTTCGACATTTCAGATCGATCTCTTCTTCATTACGACATAGGTCAACGTGTGTAGGAACCAATAGGATTTTAGCTTTAGGAACACGTGACGCAACTAGAGATATCCATTGTGCAACTTCTTCGTGATAATTTGCAGAATTTTCAAAAACGTAACGAAATAAATTCACCACCAAGATAAATAACGCTCCTAAATTTGAAAACAACATGTACATTAATAACGTACTACATCGAGAGGATAGTAGCGATGACTTGGTACGTATATACATTCGGTTTCTTTAACCTGTTACTGACGGAATTTTTATAGATGAACTGCAATTCATATTTACAAATGAGCCATGACGGTAAAGTTCTCACGAGTTGCATAAACGTATCTAAATTTACCTTCGGAGAGAAAAAGCTGATCAGTCATTTGATAAGCTTTCTGTCCTGCGCAATCGATAACCATCAACTCCAACTCGTCCATATGTGGTTCAGGTTTCCAATTGTAAAACACGACACCAAATGTTCTGTCATCTTCATTTATCTGCGTCGATTCACCCACCATCAACATTTTTACAAGACTTGTTTTTCCCGCCATAGACTCTCCCAATATAAGTACCTAAATACAGTTACATAAAAACGTTATTATGTACTGGAACTTGAACACTTCAGTCAAACAGCACAATCTGGACACCAGTTCATACAAGAGTGACGTCGACAAGTGACGTAATGACGTAGCCAGGCCGCGAGTTTGGTAGTGCAACGGAAATATTCACTCACAGTAAAAACAATACATTTCTTAACAAATGAACAATGTTAATGATCTGAAATATACATAGCACGACCGAATGTGCGAGCTGGCTGCCAGAGACTTAAATGCATGATATAGATAGCTATTAAAATACATGGCCGAAAAGACACAAACCTCTGTAGCTATATGATGTACTAACCTTTAGTCGTTTTGAATGAATATCTTTAGTTTTATCCATAGCGTGATAATAACTACGGATACTTTGTATTCCTTGATTACATACACCAACTGGTGGAACTTGTAAAGGATTATTGCCACATAAAAGTGCCTTGATTTCTCCAAGGTGTTTTATGTTTCGAGGTAGAGAAGACAAGAGATTCTCATGAAGATTAAGATATTGCAACTCCTTTAACTGGCCAATAGATCTTGGTAGAATTTTTAATTTATTCTGATTAAGAACCAGGTACCTCAAATTGACAAGGTTGCCTAAATTCTCATGTAAAGCCATCAACAGATTGCTGTTCAAATATAACTTCTTCAAATTGATCAACTCAAAAAGTCCATTGGGAAGAGTGGAAAGTTTGTTCTTTGTAAGCTGTAATTGCTCTAATTTTTTCAATTTCTTGATATCTTCTGGGATATCCTGTAGATCACTGTCGTTTACATAAAGTTTACGTAGATTTGAAAGTCTTGTAATGCATGATGGTAGATGTTTCAATAAATTATAACTTATATCAAGAATTTCCAGATTTTGTAAATAAGCAAAAAGCTCAGGAAGGCCAGTAAGTTGACAATTACTGATACACAGCTCCTCGAGATTAATCAACCTGGTTAAATGCGCAGGAAAAGTTCCCAAATTATTGTTTCGCAAATCCAACACCTTGAGTTGGCTAAGATTACCTAAAGATTTCGGAATGATAAATGGAGGGCTTTCCTCATTTTCATTTTCACAACGACACAATACCAAATGTTCTAAGTTTTCCATTCTGCCCAATTCATGGGGGATCGTAATGTAGTTGGTAAAAATCTTAAAAACTTGCAGCTGAGGATGAGAATAAATGTTCACAGGAAAATCTGGAGAAGGATCATAGCTGGTCAAGTCACATGTCACCTTACCATCGATTATTGATGGTAGGGGATGTTGGTGGAATTTATAATCGATGAATTGAAAGTCTTCTTCAAAGTCATCCATATTGGAGACACCTTACTGATGACAACCGTTTGCTTCTAGGGAAAATATGAAAAACAATAATGGAGTAGTTAATGTTGTACAAAAAAATTGACTGGTAATAAGATCTGTGATGAAGAAGAATAAGACAAATACAAAAGGTTAATTTGAACCATGATGAATAGGAAATACAGTTTTTAATAATAAGACTTACATAATGTTAGTTTTAGTATCATCATTTTAAACAATTCATCAAATAAACTCTCATTTTCTAAGTAATTTAAGGTAAACACATATACATTTATACACTAAATATGGGGGTTAATTAACCCACAATTTTACTCAAACATTAAACTTAACTACAATACAAAGCAAAACCAAATATTTGCAAGTTTTAAGTAGAAAACTAGCTTTACAATGAAATGAATGATGGTGTAATGATTTCTTAATGAAGAATGACTTACTCTTAGGAATGGTTACAAATATACTGACACTAGCCTTGAAATCAACACTATTATTATTGATATTTGATGCAATTTTGTAGCTTATTGAAGAGGTCAAATACCTGTAAAGGTTTTTCAGCAGGGTCTGTTGTACTTGAACTTTTTCATACTTTTTACTTTTATATTACTTTTATACTTTTTTATACTTTTTATACTTTTTTATACTTGAACTTTTTGTACTTGAACTTTAATAATGTTAAAGTCACTAAAATGAGAAAATATCTTCACTGTGTGGAAAATAATGATATAGCTTCAATATGTACCTGAAAAATAGTTTCTTTTCAACAGTTCGGCAGTATTCAAGTTAACTCGTAACCAAATGCAGCAGATAACAGAACAGGTGCTTTCGAGAATACATAATACTTTAGACACTAAAAATAATTACAAATCAATTTAAACTCGATACCGTACATCAACTGATCCATTCACGTCAAAATAACATTTAATCATATTATTTAATGATTCATATCATTAGGAATAAACACAAGTACAAAACACAAAGATGATTACTATGTAATTTTCGTGAAGTCTTCCGCATTTCCTATGCCACTATTTTACATCTGCTGCCTAACAGACCGGACACACACGGCACCTAACGTAGAGTTCCGATGAGTAATCTCGACTCTAATCAATAATATCAATCAATCATACAATCAATAAAATTTATACAGTCGTAAATTTTGTGGAAATAACACTCAAAACTGCCATCTAAGTACCAAACTTAACAACCATTTGGAAATATTGATTAAATAGGTCAATAATATGGTAGTTGTCAACATAGATAAGTTAGGTTGTCATTATACCATAACATGATTGTCACTACAGATGAAGGTAGTCAGTATTGGTAAGATTGTCACCATGGAAAAGGTTGTCACCATTCAAATAGTTGACACCACAAATATATCATTTTGACCATAATTATTGCGGTCACGTCTTTCGGTGTCTCACATAACATAAGCTTAACATAATTTAAATTTAAAAAATGAAATGTTATCATAAAGAATAGCTTAGGGCAAAACTAAATAAAATTTTAAGTTAGTTTAAATCGATGCAATTTTTGTGTCTGTAAACAGGTTTACAGACACAAAAAATTTAGTACTCTGCTGATAATGTGGATACAGTTTAAGATAGCACGATTCTTCATTAACACAGAGAACAACGAGAACTTCTATTTTAGTTCAGAGATGTTGAGGTCTTCTATCTGAGAGTTGTTCCAGATTTTCATCGCTTTGACGCCACGCCACTATGCAAAATATTCGTCTTACACAAAGGATTGCTTCACTTTGAAAGTATTTTGAAAGCTCAAAACTAATCCAGAATTAGCTATGGTGGTTTTAAAAGAAACCCTTTTCACATAACATATTCATATACATCCGGTATTTACACTCAAAGTCCCACTACTTCTTTAAATAATTACCTTATCTTCTCAGCTTAAAGATAAAGTGTCGTGTTTTCAAGACTTTTCTCATGTAGTGTCGTTAGACGTTCAATCAGGAAGGAGCTATATAGATCTTCGACTGAAGAATATAGAGCATTCAAAAAAGACATCACTTATCTGTACTTTAATCAATCAAATAATGGAAACATCTGCAAGAAAGACAGCCTACTCCATGCGAGACATATTAAACATGCCTGAAAATAAGGAAGACGAATCCAAAGTCGATGTAAAACGCACAAAGGAGTCCCTTTTGAAAGGATCTTCGCTGGATAAACTATGAACAAGACAATCTACAACTTCGGTGAACAATGACCTTTACAGAAAGGAGTCGAGCCTTAAAGGTAAGGCTAGACATCAGAAATGGGTTTTGAGATACGACATTAAAAAAGTCATTATAAATGACCACAGCTAAGCGGTTACAACTTTACTGCTTAGTTAAATTCCTCTAGTCACTTATATATGCTAAACATAACGAGTTTTTGGAAGTTAATAAGTTTAAATAATAACTTTTGCTCGTATGATAAGCCACTCGAGTACTCATATGTAGTTCTGGCAAAGAAAGTATTCTTATAATGTAATTACATTTGATGAGCTTTTGAAAGGAAGGCATGGATTTTAATGTGATAGCCAGAAGAAGTTAAAACAATTTGTTCACTTCTTTTGTAAATTAACGAATCATATATCTTTGCTACAAAAGATGCTCAACAAGCGATCAGAACATTATCAAACTCTGACACAGAAACCCGGCACGAAAGCATAAAAGCAAAACAGAAAAAACGAAAACGACGCGTCCTTTTCACGAAGGCTCAGACGTTTGAACTCGAAAGAAGATTTCGTCAGCAAAGATATTATCAGCGCCCGAACGAGAACACCTTGCCAGAATGATTTGCCTGACTCCAACACAAGTGAAAATTTGGTTTCAAAATCACAGATACAAACAAATACGACACATAAGTGAACATGGAGAGGATAGTTTTGATACTCTGCGAATGGCTCAATATACATGAGAGAGGGAGTTGTATATCATAATACCGCAGGAAACTATACCTCTCATTTCCCACCGCAAGAAGGTGAATTTTGCAGTGGTTATAAACCAGGGCATTTAACTACAGCATATTTTTTTCTCAACAACACATTTCGACTTGTGGTAAGCGCAAAAACACGAGATTGAAGAAGTTTGGGAAGCAAAATTGGTAAAATATAACCGCAAAGTTTAACTAAGTCTTGACGACTTCGAGAAGCAATTGCTTATTCAACTGTACAATAATCATCGTGAAAATTTTTACCACAACAAACGCTCGAACGGAAACAGCTCAAAGCAAAAGTATTCCACTCTTCATATTCTACATATGTCAATACTTTAACCATAGTTAACAACCAAACGAAGGCGCAAAGTCTATATGTACAAGAATATTGTCTTTTTAGTCTCCATCAGTAAAAAACTCATGCAGACATGATTATGAACAAGAAGAATACGAATCGCTTGACATTCGATGCAAGAGAAACATATTGTACATAAGAAGATATTTATTTTAAAGAGCACACACACACACACACACACATATATATATGTAGCTATATTAAATAAGGTGCAACCATTTGAAATTTACAAAAAAAGATAGAAGTAAAGTAGAAAAAAAATAAGATTCCACTATGTGCTGTTACTTTATGTTTCTTCAATATATTAGTTGGGCAACGATCACGAAAATCAGTAATGAAAAACTCTTTCAAATTCTGAACTAAATATTTATCGAGGCCGTTTATAAGATCGTACAGGGTGGTGGGTGGAAGAAACTCATTAAATGCACTGAAATACTAAAGTAAATATGATCTCATAAACCCCAGAATCCCCCCTCCCTGTCCCTCAATACAAGATCAAGAGATATTTCATTGACAATTGATTAAACAAAAAAAGTTCAAAGGTGAAATTATTTCCCCGACAGTCATCAGTTCGAAGCAATCAAATAGAATTAAGATATACATCACATGATAAAGTCATATATGTTAATAACTTTCCTCATCCCTGAATGCTATCACTATAAAGCCGACTAATAAAGCAGTCTCAACTCCCAACTTCGTCTCCTCAATCAAACCCACATAAGTCATATTACAAAATCATAAATGACAAACAAAGTTTGACAAGTCAATGATTTTATATCTCAATAAGATAGCCGCTACCACGGCTTATAAAAAGACCGTAAATGGATAAATAGATGTGTTTCAAAGATGTCTGCAAAGTTTTCATCAAGAAAAACAATTTTGCTTTCAATTTTAAAAACCCAATTTTATTTTGCTCGTGCGAGCCAAAAAATTGACTTATTGACAAAATGCACTGGTGTGACAACGAAACACAAGATACATTAACAAACAAATGGCAGGCATGAAATTTCATAAAGTGGTTTTCTTTTATCATCTCGTACTTAACCTTTCATTCCATAATAAGAGTGACACAATGTCCAATTTAAGCCGTGTATCAAAAAACCAGATAGACAGTGTGAATCTGACAATGTTGACGTCAGCTAAATTCTCAACTCACTAAATTCATAGTTTGCAGCTTAAAGCCAAAATATTGGCATAATTTTTACAAAAAGTAACAGCTACGTTAGAAATCAAAGAGAGACACAGCCAACGTGAAAAATCAGTGGAATTATTTGAAATTTTAGGATATAGGACTGCCCCCAGCAAAGAGTGACTTTTATAACCGAATAAACAAAAAAACTGATACAATAGCCAGCCAATGGATCTTTATCACGAAAACTTAGAGTATATTTGACTGCAATTATATCTCTTTATCTGTTAAATTGCCATGATTTATAGCAAATTGTCTTTCACAGACAGATTTACTTGAAGTCTAAAGAGTCTACAATTTTAATGTCAGTTCTACATTTATGAAGGCAGTTAAAAGCCTTTTTCAATGATGAGATTTGATAAAAAAAAACCTTCCACAAATGACAATGAGTTAAAAAGTCGATTTCAACTAAAGGATTACATTTTTCATCCTTTCGTCT